AGTTGGACCTCGGTGCTACCCCTGCCTTGAGCTCGCCGCCGAGCTGCGCCAGGCAATCGGTGAGGATCTCCCGCGAGCTCTGCGCCCGCGAGCGCGAAGACCAACTTCGCATTCCCTTCCTTGAAGCAGGAGCTGATTCGGAACCCTCTCATCAACAGACTCATGTCGGCCATGCTGGTCACCTGGTCGACCTTCGAGCGCCGTTGCTCCCACAGCGCCTTGCTGCGAGCCTCGACCTTCTCCCCTGCCTTTGTGATCGCGTCGGCAACGACCAGGAACACCTGCGCATGTGCTGGTCCCATCGCCGACTCTGGGAGAGGCTTTGCGCTGTCTAGCTTCCACCCCTCTCGCGTGGCCGCCGCCCGTGTCGCGTGCGCTCGGCCCGCCTTGCACGCCTCCTTCGCAATGTCCGAGTTCTCGTCCAAGATCAGCGCCTGGAGCGCCGCTGAGAGCAGCTGCCTCATCATGAGCGCGTTGCCCAACGCAGCCATCGCCAGCACGGGCGTGATCTTCGCGACCATGCTCTGCGACATCTGCGGCAGCTTCGCGAGAGTGTCCTCTGGCAGGCCGTGCGCTTTGCCGACGGCCATCTTGACGTCCTCGCCCTTGCCCGCGCCCGCCGCGGCCCGCCCCGCCTCTGGCTGGCGCGGGGCGGGGGGCCTGCTGCCTCGAGCCGCGGCCGCGCGGCGCTCCTGCCGTCCTCCGCGACTGCGGGGTGCAACCGCTGACCCAGAGCGGCCGTGTCGAGAGCTGGCGCCACCTCCGCGCCCGTTCGAGCGGCAGCGCTCTCCTGCTGCCTCGAGGTCCTCCGCCTTCAGACGGCGCATCAGGAACGTAGTGCGGGCGCCGAATGCAGCGGCGCTGACGGAGGCGAGCGCGCAACTGATCCCGATTCTCGAATGCCTCAGTGTTTGTGCATATGTAGGCCTCATCATGACCGCCACGCAACGAGGCAACGGTAATGGGCGAGAGGGTGCGCGCCAGACTCTCAGGCTCGACAACCTCGCGCGCGAACGGTGTTGCACGCGGGGGGCGCCGATTGCGCGGCACCGCTGCGACTGCGTGCTCCTGTGCTATTCGTCGCGCTTGGAAACTTTGACGACAGAAGATGCACCCGCTCGTGGCCGTCATGCTGTGCACGATGGAGCGGCAGTTGTGCCCCCCCGCTCTGGCAGCGCACTGGCGCGCAAGAAACGCTCGACGCGCGGCCAACGCGCGATCGCAAGGTGCGCCCGCCGAGCCGGTCAGCTCGCACTTCCCGATCGGCCCAGGAGGATCAGGAATCTCGGTATCCCCGGGACCACAAGAAACACGCTCCAAAGGGGCCGTGGCGCCCAGGGGGTGGCGCAATGGCCACAGTCCGAGCAGCAGCCCTCAGTGCCCCAGGATTCGGCCGAAGATAACGTTCCCGCGGCTCATGATCCATGAGCAATCGAGGATGGTGGGTCCTGAGTCCACTGGGAGCTGACCAACGACAGAGCCCAACTCTTGTGCGTGAATACCCGGGAAAATAAGCCAACGGCGATACACGCGGAGCCTGCGGGCCATCAGCTCAATCCCAGTCGGGGCCGCCCCTGCCCGTCGAAGAACAACTTCGTCTGAATCAGCTCTATGCTTGATCATGGGTTTGCCGTTCTCATCTTTCAGGGGGCCCCCGCTCTCGTCAACCATCTCCTGCTTTTTGCGCGCGTCGCCCCCGAAGATCCTGCGGGCTAGGCCCCTTCCAGACCCTATCTAGTCGTCGTTCTTGCGCGTCCGTCAGCATTGACGCCGCAAGCCCCGACAGTAGAACCCCCTGAACAACGGCCCGAAGACAGTCCTCGTAAACCGCCGCGCCCGATTTGTTTGCCAGAGACGTCATTGAGTGGTGGGCCCGCCGACGCGCTTGAATTCTGCGACGCAGCTCCCCCTGGCCCCCCCCCCGTTCGCCGACGTCAGAACCCCCGGGGCCGCGTCGTCGAACTGCGCGCAGCCCTCGAGGGGGAGACGCCCACTGAAGATGTCCGAAGCATGCTTATCATACCCAGGGCCCACGAAGGATGGAGAGATACTGCTCTTCCCAGCGCAGTGCGCGTAGCTGCTGCAATCCAGCTCCTGACGCAGAAAGTGATGCGCACATGGTAACGTGTACTGCGCATTGCGTGCAGAGGTAACGATATGCGCACGAGACGTGTCGTCGGCGTAGATGCGGCGCGACAGGTCGACAGGCCTCTGAAGAGAAGGCGTGCGCGCCGTGTGCCAGGCCTCAGTCGGCCAGATCGCCCTGTCGGGATCGTCGGGCGGCACAGGTGGCACCAGCTGCCGCGCGCGCCAATCCTCGTGCGACGCAGGCCGTAGGGGCGCAGGGGCGTCGCCCCATGTGGCCTGGCGCAGCCGATCTAGCCACCGCCGAATAGGCCGCCGAAAGGTACGTGCAAAGAAAGTCGCCGCAGGACTGTCGCCTATGGAGGCCCCCGCCGGGTTGTGTAGGGTGCGCCCTCCATCTGCCGCCTGAGTGGTGAGCGTCGAGGTCACGTGGCGCTGATGGAAGAACGCCTGGTCCTGCGGCAACATCGTCTCGCGCACAGTCTCGCGCGGCTCGTGGAATGGCGTGCATCCGAACGCGTTGGACATGTCCTCTTTCGCGATGATCATCGAAATGCCTTTTGCCCATCCTGCTCAGCAGCGCCTCCGGGCATATCGGGGCACCTTCCCTGTTCCTGCCGAGCTAGTAACCGTGCTCGCGAGCAGGTTCAGCGTCGACAGCTCCTCGTCGCAACGCTGCTTTGTGCCGCGTCACCCCCATGCGGCGCAGCCCGTGAATCTATCTTCTAGCACTAAAACCTTCTTTTCCATTTCCTTTGGACGGCCCAGTGGCGCGCGTGTCGTGCTGGGCCGCCGGTGCCCGGCCAACTCGACGAATATGGTCGCAGATTTTCTGAATTGCTTTCAGGGTGGCTGAATTCTCTATCCTCGAGGCGGCGGCGCCAAGCCCGCGTCTATCACCGGCCAACCTGCGCCGTGGGACAAATTCCGTGCGCTCCTCAGTACCAGCGTCTTCTACTCTGCCTCCATCGTCGCCCCCCCTTCGTCGCCGAGGCCTCCGATGGGCGCCGTCGAAGCGCCTGTTGGAACCGGGCGCCATCGTCGGCACCTCGCGCGGCGCGCTTTGCACAGGGGGGGCCCTCCTGCGCGCAGCCCGTCCGAGCAGCGCCTTCAACTCCTCCAGGTCGCCCCCCCCCCCCCCCCCCCCGCGCGCGAAGTTATCCGATCCGAACAGGGCGGGGGGGGGGGGGGCAGGTAGCCCGTCGAGGCATTGCGGCTGGTACTCTGCGAACTCGACTGGCGCTGCGCGCGGCCCACCTTCGGGGCGAGTTAATACTGCTGCGCCTCGTCGCCCCTGGGCGCGAACTCCTCTGCCGCATTGTATCTTCTCTGATTCGGTCCGCTACGCTTGCCCGCCGGGGGGCGCGCCAGTCTCCGCGCCTCCGCGCGGCGCCGACTGTGCTGCGCCTCGCCAAACTCAGCGACGACCTCCTCCGTCGTCTCCTCGGACCCAGAACGCCGTGAATTCCTCGGCTTGCGCGAGGCCCGCGCCGGCAGCATGCGCGAACGGTCGTCGTCGCCCTCGGCCTCTCGGATCCTCCGCCGCTCGGCAGATAGACGCGATCGCTCTTCAGCAAATGCCTGGGCTCTGGGGTCCTTCGCTGTCTTCCTGCCGAAGTGTCGCTCTGCCACTGCGTGCGCCGTAGTAATCCACTGAGCCCGGGCCTCATCAGGCGCGGGTGCAGACAAGCATAGATCGTGATAATCTGGTCCAGCTCCGAACTCTTCCTCCAAGTCGCGACTGAACTCTGGTACTCCTGCTCCTCGCCGAAGAGCCTGGGCAGGGCGGTCGAAGTCCCATGCAGCCTGCTGAATACTGGAGTGCGACAGGTGAGGGTATAGTCGAGCTTCAGCATCAACGGTATGTGGTCCCGTACTCCCTGCTTGCGAATCAGCTTGAGCCTCGTGCTCGAGCGTGCCAGCGGGACGCACCCTTTGAGATCCTCTGTTTGCCACGCGAAGGTCGCTATGAAGTCAATTCATGACGCCGATGCTGAACCATAATGCGTTGGTCCTGTCGGGAAGTCAGTGGACGCCGCACGAATCGCATACTTTTCCATCGCCTCTAACACGCGGTCTCCCGCATAGTGCTGCTCGAAGTTGCAATATCTGCCCAGTGCCCTCGACGTCACCAATACCTGCCCATCGCCCTTCCCGCGCCAACCGAACGAGTCGTTCAGGTCGAAACACCACAGGAGACTGGACCTCTTTGGTATCCAGCTGAAGACCCTCTCGAGCCACGCACACATGGTGTCGACTGTGTGTTGGTATCCACGATGTGACTCGGGCGCAACGGTCTCTCTCCTTTCTCTCCGCGCAGACGGGCGCGGTGGAAATATGCAACTGGGATCACAATATCAAATCGGCCCGACCATAGTCGATGAAGGGCCACTCTGCCACGTAGCTGATGTGGCATTGCGGGTGTGACGACCATGTGCTTAGTTCTGAACTTCTTCCTCGCCAGCGGCACGATTCCACAGGACTTGTTGGAGTGTCGCCTCGGAATATATCGCCAATGGATCGCGAAATTAAGCTTGTACGCCGATCTTCTCGTAGCCTGTTCTTGTGAGGCTGCTCTCTCGCCCGTACTTGTGATGGCAATCGGATCCACGTGTTGAAACTCCTCACTGATATCTGATAGGCGGCGAGCTGGCCGTGGGGGCCTGGCCGAAGCAAGGGTTCGTTAGCGGGTGTGCTGGGTCGCCTGCCCCAGGTGCGCGATCGCCTGAGCAGGGGGGCTAGGAGGAGGAGGAGGAAGAGGAGGAGGAGGAAGAGGAGGAGGAGGAAGAGGAGGAGGAGGAGGAGGAGGAGGAGGAGGAGGAGAAAGGGTCGAGGGTCGAGGGTGTTGTTCGTTCGTCACCCTCGTGGCAGCCCCCGACCCCCGATTACCCTTCGACCCGCGGTGCGCGGCCCTCCTCGCGGCCGCGCCGGGGCTCCCGCGCCTGTCTCTGCCGCTCCCGCGGCCGGCTCGCGGGCACGGCGCCGCCCCGCGCCTGGCGCCGAGGCGCGCCGACCGCTGCCGACCGGCGCCGGCTGCTCGCGGGCCACCGCCGGCCGCCGCCGGCCGCCCGTGCGCGCGGTGGCGCCCGGCAGCCGCGGCCGCGGCCGCGGCCCGCCCCGCTGTCGGGGCGGATCCCTAGGGGGCCCTGACATCCTCGCGTTGCGACCGCGTCACCGGGCGACAGACAAATATCAGGGGTTGGGAAGATATACGAGATACGACGGTGTAACAAGCACACTCAACATACGCGATGATACGAACGATCTGATCGTTTCTCCCAGCCCCATGCCAAATTGTCAGACCACGACCTGGGACGGAAAGCCAGTCCCAGGAAGGGGTCCAGACCTCTGGTGAGCCACGCTGTACACGTAATCGCGACGTCGGATGCCTGGGATGCACCTCCACCGCCGACCGCCGCTGACCGCCGCCGCTGCTGGCTGCCACCGTGGCCGCCCGCGAGAGCGCTCACCGCCACCAGCCGCCGCCCCGACTCGCCGCCGCTGTTCCAGAAATCTGATGTCGTGATTGTTTCAATGCGCGATCACCGAAAGTCTCGACCCATTTCCCAGGACCGGTTTTTCATCCCGAGTCATTATTTCACGGTCCTGGGGCCCAGCGAGGGCCCCTAGAAACAGAAAGTGGCGAAGAATATCCGTCTTGTTTTTTTAATGCGTTGGGTCTCTGGGGTCGGGGCGGATCCGAGGGAGGGGGGATTGCAAGGGGGGGGCTCAACCCATCGGCCGCGCGTGGCTGGCCTTTTCTTCAGGCCGCCGGCCAGGGGCCCAAGGAACGGCCGTGCATCGCGGGAAGTGTCTAGCGGCGAGGCCAAACCAGCTGCATGTATCATAGTTGTTATGTGTTGTTGCTGTGGGTGTGCACATGTGTATATATATATATATATATATATATATATATATATACGTATGTATGTATGTATGTATGTATGTATGTATGTATGTATGTATGTGTGCATGCATGCATGCATGCATGCATACAGACACACACATGTAGATGTACACTGCATATATATATATATATGTGTGTGTGGGTGTCAGCTGATTTATGCATAACTGTCGTCATCGAACTTTCATGTCTCAAGGATAAATGTTGTTGACCCCCTCTGATGCCCGTGGTGCTATTTTCACTACGATGCTCCTTTCGGGCTCGCACTAAGTTTTGTCTTAACTTTATATGTTTTTTGATTGGGTCGTTGGCCCTTGAACCACCACAGCAGCGGCTCCCACCTGATACTTCCCGACATTTGATTCAAAGTCGTGCTCTTGCTCGGACTTCCTCGCAACTTATCCAGGAATCGCGCTCTCGCGTGGGACAGCCTCGCAATTTATTGAAACGCCACGCCTTCGACACGCAACAATCACGCCATCGCTCTGGATTTCGTCATGATTTACTTGCGAATCGCGCTATCGCTTGAAACTTCCTCGCAACTCATGTTGGATTGACTCTTCAGCGGCCCGCCCTCTCGACCCGGCCGTCTAAGCCCGCCTTCTCGACACGCCCGTTTGGGTCTGCCCGCCCGATCCGCCCTCTGGTTCTGCCGTTTGTTTCCTGCTCCTAGCCCCCCTCCTGCAAATCTCTCTCGTGCTTCATCCTTCTATCTCCCCCTTTTCGCTTCCCTACTCCCTCCTTTCACCTGTTTCAAGGGTGCGTCAACTACACGTGGCAAGTAAGGAAAATGCATTCCAAAGGGAAGCACGGTCAAAAACGAAAAGGCCGGGTACCGAAGGTTTAGGATGAACAGGTCGAGCGACGCGCGGGCATATGAGATCGAACAAACTTCAACATATGGTTTTTGGTTGTTGTTGCTGCTGCTGTTGAACTCCCACTCTTGAAAACAAATTATTGTTGACCCCCCCACCCCGCACTGGTGCACAGGTATTTCCATTTGAATGCACCCTCGGGGCTCGCACTCTTTCGGTGTGTCTGTGTGTGCTGTTCTATCCAAGAAAATATTCCTGTTCAAACTGCGTTGTTGGGTCCCGAATTGCAGCAACAACGGCTTCCGCCTGATACTTCAGCACCATTTACTCCAACATCGCGCTTTCGCGCGGGATGTTTCAGAATTTATGCAGGAATCGCGCTCTCTCGTGGAACCTCCTCGCAATTTATTTAGACACAGCGCCCTCGACACTCAAGAATCACGCTCTTCCCTTGGCCTTTCTAGCGATTTACCGGTGAATCGCGTAGTCGTTCGAAACTTCCTTGCGAATCGTGCAAGACTCACTCTTCAGCAACCCGCCTGCTCGACCTGGCCGCCTGGGCCCGCTTTCCCGACCCGACCGCGTGGGTTTGCCCGCCAAATGTGCCCGTCTGGTTCTGTCACGTGTTTTTTGTTCCCCACACACCTCCTGCTAATTTCTCTCGTGCCCCATCCTTCTCCCTCCCCCTTGCATCCGTCGTGTCTTCCCTGTTTTGGGGGCTGCGCTACATGCGCGTGACAAGTAAGGAAGCTATGCCCCCAATGGGGTACGATGGGAGACGAAGAGGGCGGGTACCGAGGGGTCGGGATGTACGTGTTGAACGGCACGCGAACGGATAAAATGATTGCTGTTCCTGTTGTTGTTGATGTTGTTG